TAACCTCTTTGACATCGGCCACAGCAACTTCTTTCAAGATACATCTCCAAAAGCTAATGAAACAAAAGCAAAAATGAACTTTTGGGACTTCATCAAGGTAAAAAGCTTCTGCAAGGATTTCCTTTTCTCCACATCCTCGCCAACACTTGCTATCTTTTGTCTTCTTGATGATAGCCATTCTAACAGGTGTGAAGTGATATCCCATTACAGTTTTGGTTTGCATTTCCCTGATGATTAGTGATGTTGAGCATCTTTTCATGTACCTTTTGGCCCTTTAGATGTCTTCTTTGAACATTTTTGCCTATTTTCAATTTGGATTGTTTGGGGTTTTTTGTTATTGAGTTATAGGAGTTCCTTATATATTTTGGATATTAACCCCCAATTTATGGTTTGCAATTTTTTTTCTCATTCCATAGGTTGCCTTTTCATTTTGGTGACTTTTTTTTTTTTTTTTTGCTGCGAAGAATTTTACTTTTTTGTCTTGTATAATGTCTCTGGCTAGGACTTCCAGTAGTATGTTGAATAGAAGTGTCAAAAGGGGGAATCCATGTCTTATTCCTGATCTTACAGGGAAAGCTTTCAGCTTTTCATCACTGAGTATGATGTTAGCCATAGGGTTGTTTGTTTTTTTTTAAGATTTTATTAATTTATTTGAGAGAGAGAGTGCGTGCAGGAGAGAGCAAGCATGAGCGGAGTGAGGTGCAGAGGGAGAAGCAGAGTGCCCACTGAGCAGGGAGCCAGATGTGGGACTCGATCCCAGGACCCTGGGATCATGAACTGAGCCCAAGGGAGACGCTTAACCGACTGAACCACCCAGGCGCAATAGCCATAGGTTTTTTATACATGGCCAGAATTCTTAGTTTTTAGTAACAAATCATACTCTGGTTAATCTAAGCAATAATGGAACTTATTAAAGATATGTTTTGGTGCACAGAATCTCTGGAAGACTGAGAGAGCTGGAAACAGTGCCTGTCTACTGTGGGAGTGGCTCTAGTTGAGATAGCGCAGTATCCAATTGTCTACAACCAGTAACACTCAGGACTGGATGCCAACAGCTTACCATTGCTGCCCAGGAAGAAGAAGTCACATCCACCATTGCACTTCTTAGAAGGTGGATTCTCTCACATATGACCACCTCTCATGTTGCTAAATTTGAAATCCAAAACTCACACTGACTGGTAGATTCTAGGTCACAGGCCTGATCACTAGCTGTTAGTGAGACAGGAAACGTGAGTTTCTGACTTTTATTTGGAAAAGTGGGATTTTTAAGGAAGAAATTATCAAACAGTAGATATAGTGTGCAAAGATGTTGGATGACCACAAATGAGAAATACCAACTCCAGAAATAAAAGGATTGGAGTTAGTAGGCATATTACAGATAAACATCACACTCTCTTATTCTAGCAGAAGTCAAGAAAATTCTGTCTAGATAGTATAGCTCAACAGTGAGAGCAACTGGAAAGATGCAGACCTGGCTAGACAGAGATCCTTTGGCACTTACAAAGTTTTGCATAAATAAACATACCAGACTGGAATAAAATCAATAAGACAGAATCATAGATGAAGGCTACTTTTCTAATTTTGCCCGTTTACAACCTAAACTGCATCTCTAATAATGAAGAATTTCTGCCTACTCCGAAGAGCTTTATGTTAGGGGCTTTGAAGATAAGAAAAGGATTCATTGAAGTCTATGTCAATTTAATCATTATTACTTTTTCCCCTTTCTTACCAAACGATTACCATTTCTCTTTATTGAAGTTCTGCAGTTCACTCTTTTAGTTTATTTTTACCTTTATGTTTAGGTGTGGTTTTATTTTTTTTCCCTTATGCTTGATACTAAATGCTCACTTTCAATCTGAGGACTCACATTACTTTTTTCAATTCTCAGCCTTTATCTTTTTAAAAATCTTTTAGTTCAAAATAATACATGTACATAAACTAGGAGTTGAAAATACTACACAATTACAAAATAAAAACAGCAGTTCCCTAGAAGGCTAATTCCATCAACTATATTTCTTAGTACTTATTAATATTATGTACCCATTAGCCATTATTTGTACAAGTGAAAGAAGAGATGGCCAGACAGAAATAAGTTTATAAATCATAAGTAGAAATGTTCTTAGTATACAGTAGTTCCCAGGCTACTGTACTTAAATATACTATTATAAAATAGTATATTTTATTTTATTTATAGAGTATAAAATAGTATATTTTATTTTATTTGAGTTTAAAATATGAATAAAATAAGAAGATCATAATTGCTGAATTTCATACACTTTTTTCAATGGAATTTATTACACTTACTGAGTACCTACTATATTCCAGGCACAATTCTATGCATTGGAATACATAAATGAAGGAAAGAGAGAAAGATCCTTGTTCGTATGGAGTTTACATTTTAGCCAGGAAGACAGATATTAAATAATAAACATAATAAATACATAAACCATATAGTATGTTGGATGCTGAAACATGTTATAAAAAATGGAGAGGAGAGGAGCTGGAGGTTTCCAGGGGAGGGATCGCCGTTTGAAATGGCGTGGTCAGCCAGTTTCTTAGGCGTGTGACCTATGTGTTTGCTTTAATGCTCTGTTGTTAACGTGTTGGATTTTAATCATTTCTGAACATGGGATCCCCTGTTTCCATTTTATACGGGGCTCACAAATTACCTGAGCAAGTATATAAAGGAATGAAGATGTTAGTCTTGTGGCTATCTTGGGGACAGTGTTGTGGAGGGAAAGATTGGTACAAAGGCCCTAAGGAAAAATTCCTGACATATGAAATGAAGGAGACCAGTTTTGTTGGAGAAAAGACAGAGAGTTGTGGGGGCGGCGGGGGGAAGTTATAAGAGATGTGGTCAGGAGAGAGCAGATTGTTCAAAGCAGCAGTTGGCAAACTTTTTCTGTAAAGGGCTAGTTAGTAAATATTTTAGGCTTTGTGGGCCATATGGTCTCACTGCAACCACTCAGCCCCGCTGTTGTGGTAGTGGTGAAAGCAGCCAGAGACAATGCATAAACGAATATGCATGGCTGTATTCCAATAAAATGTTATTTATGGATGCTGAAATTTGAATTTTGTATAATTTTCATGTGTCACTAAATGTCCGTTTTGGTTTTTTTCCATCCATTTAAAAATGTAAAAATCATTCTTAGCTCCCAGGCTACTGTACAAAAATAAGCAAAGGTCACATTTGGCACTCAGACATTAGCTTGCAGACCCATGGTTTAAGGCTTTATAGAGCATTATAAAGACTTCTGCCTTTACTCTGAAGCAATGAGGAGCTTTAAAGGCTTTCAAGTGGACAAATCATTTGATTTCTATTTTAAAATAATTTGGCTGCTCTGCTGAGAATGTAGTTTGGAGACTACAGCAGTGATCCAAGAGAGAGATGATGGCTCAGAATAGGGTAGCAGCAGTAGAGGGTGGTCAGAAGTGATTGAATTTAGGCTGTGTTTTAAAGTTGGAGTTTTTTGTTTTGTTTTGTTTTGTTTTAGCTAAACAGATTTATTTATGGATTGTATGTAGAGTATGGCTGGGGGAGGAAAGGATTCAAGGATAATCCCAGCATTTTGACCTGAGAAACTGCAAATATAGAGCTGCCATCAACTGGAATGAGAAAGGCTGAAGGTAGAGCAGGCTGTGGAGGAAGGTCATGAATTCAGATTTGGACATGTTGAATTAAGGTTCCTATTGGATTTCTAGTGGGAAATGTTGAGAAGGCAGTTGGACATGAAACTTTTGGAGGTTGGAATGTAGTTGGTACTTAAAGTCAATAGACTTGATGAGATCTTTAAGGGAATGAGTGTGGAAAGGGAAAGGAGTCCAAGGACTAAACCCTGGGCATTCCAACATCCAGAGGCTGCAGAGAAGAGTAGCAATGAGAAATGAAGACCAAAGAAGGAGGGATGCATGAGGGAGAACACCAAGACAGTCAAGAGTCTGGAAAGAGGAGAAAGTGATCAACTGTGTCCAATACTGCCAATAGGTCAAGTAAGGTGTGGTCTGTGAGCTGACCATTAAGTTCAACAACATGTGGGTCATGACCAAGAGCAGAGGCAGAACTCCACTTGGTGGCAAAAGCCTGAGTGGAGAAGGTTTAAGAAAGAATGGAAGGAAAAGAATTGAAGACAGAAAACACAAACCTATCTGATGTGCCTCAAAGGAAAGCAAAGAAATGGGTTAAGAACAAAAGACAATAGAAACTAGGAGCTGGACTTGCATGTTCAAGCTCATGCTTCAATGCTAGAGGTATGAAAACTAAACATTTAACACTTCCGATACTTGTCACCTCCAGATTTTATGTTATTATTTTCACTTACTCAAAAATTTTAATATCACTTCATTTTGTAATAGAACTAAACTCTTATGTTTACATTAATGCAATGCTCATGAACCGTACTTTTACTACAGCTTCTCTAATACTGGCTTCTCCAGTTCATCTCCTCCTTTGTTTTGTTTTTGTTTGCCAGGAAGGGCTTGAAGTTGTGGTCTTCCATTTTCTCACAGGTATGAAAATGCCTGACCGTTGCCTTTCTACTTGATCAATAGCTTGTTAGACATAAACCTCTTGGCTCACTCTTTTCCTCAAAATTTTGTATTAGTCCTTTCTTTTTTCTGGCATTGCATATTGAGCTACTTCTATTCCTGTGGCTTTTCATTTATTTTGGGTTATTGTTGTTGTCGCTGATTGCAGCTGAACAGTTTTTTTAAGTAGTGCCATGGCTACTACAGACCTTGAGTCCCTTCACAAGTGAGAATGTTCCTTTGATACTTGCAAAATTCCTTGGCAGAGTATTATATGACAGGCTAATACTTTTTTTCATCAGAACTCTGTAGGTGTAGACAAAAACTCTTAGCACCGTTTCAAATTCTCACTGCCTTACCTTTTAACTTTAACCACAACTGCAGCAACCAGCTCTGCATAAGTTTCAATCGCCTTTGTAGTTCCTTTGCTTCAGGCCTGTGTCCTGCACTTCTGGCTTCTTACATGAGGCTTCTTAGATAGAAGCTTTCACTAAAACATGGACACCCTACCCATGTAGAGGAGTTAATGTCATCACTGGGAGGTCAGGGGCCCATGGTCTTTCCACTTTTCTTCTCTGGATGGTCTAGAAACACATTTCATAAGACTTCTAAGACAGTCCCAAGGGACTCAGCATCCAGTTGCCCCTAGCAATGACCAACTTAATAATATATTTTTGTATTGGTCTTCCCTTTTTTTCCCTGTTTCATTCTTTTATCTTTTATTCCTGCTTCCTGGATTCTACTCCCAAATAAATTACTCTCACATGAACTACTTCCAGGTAAACTTAACCTTAGATAATAGGCATTACTTCATTGTGCTCTCGCATTGAATATTGATTGTTGTGGGGATTTTTGTGGCCAGTGGGTACCCACTACCCCTTCATCAACCCATACCTTTTAAGTTATTTCATAAATTTTTCTTTCTGGTGGCTGAAGAACTCAATAACTTAACCAAGATATGTCTTGGTTATGATGGTTCTTTATCAATTTTTCTTGGAAGATAGCTGAGGGGTGATGATTAAGTTAACTGATGCCCTGTAGGCTGGCTTCCTGGAGAGGAAGTTGGCTCGCTGACTCTGGTTACCAATGATAGCCTACAACCTAGGGTTTAATGCAATCCATCCTGGCAGGGAGCTGACATGTGGATTGAGACCTCAGCCAAGTTTCCACCTAGTAGTAGTGCTGTAATCACAAGGGTTAAGATCACACCCTGGGGAAGCCAAGTGTTCTCCCAATTGATGAATGCTGAGACAGTGGGTGGAGCTGAAAGCCAAGGTTCTGCTGTTAGAGCCTATGTCTTAATTTCACTAGGAAGAATTTGGTTCTTTAATAATTAAGGAGTTTAAAAACCCCAACATCTAAGGCCCAGGATCTTTCTCTCAGATGTAGATTTACAGTCTGTTAGATTGTTGTGGGCTTCCTGAGAATAAGATGATCATGAGAGGATCATTCACATGTACTGCAGATAGAATGCCTTTAAGGGGGCGCCTGGGTGGCTCAGTCAGTTAAGCGACTGCCTTCGGCTCAGGTCATGATCCTGGAGTCCCAGGATCGAGTCCCGCATCGGGCTCCCTGC